TGTGAAAACTGGAGCATTGGTTGAAGAGACTATGTCCTAGAAGGGTGTTCCTCAGGTGGAGTGCTCTCCACAGGAGGGGAAGACAGACTCCTATGGAGACAGCTCAACTCTAAAGGGAGGGCCTTGCAAAGGATGGGGAGGTAAAGTGAGTATGTATGTAGTTAAATGTGTCAGTGAAATGAAATGTTTGGAAAATTTCTAAGTAGGGATAAAAAAAGAACAATGGCTTTAATTCTTTCAGAAATGCTCTAATATCCAAGAAAGCTGTTTTGTTTTGTTTTGTTTTGCTGTTTTGGTTTTGCTGTTCTTTTTGTTTTTTCAATAGGAGCTCACCACGTAACCCAGGCTAGCCTTGAACTCATAAAGATCTGCCTATCTCTATCTTCTAGATGCTGGCAATAAAGGCATGTGTCACCACACCCACATATTCAAGAAATTTTATTGCTGTATATTTTTAAACTACATTGTTTATGTGAAATCGAAGCATATAAAACCATTTGATATTAATTTGTTTTGAAAGGGAAAAAGCGATGCTCACATTTGAAAAATACAAAATAGCAAAAACATGTCAGAAGAATGTAGTTGTCAAAGTCTCAAATATCTACCAGCAAATAAAATTCACTATCTACTTAAAAAGAGTTCCCCTGACGATCAAACCAGGCTAACCTTAGAATATAGTGATGACTTAAAACAGTTATCCGTGTGTGACTGCTCACGTAATGTTTCTCAGCAGAAAATCACATGTCTATCAAATGGAAATGAAAGTTTCTTTTCTTTTTCCTGGGTTTTTGAAAGTTTTTTTTTTTTAAACAGGACTAGGCATACATAGAAAGATTTTTTTAATATAGTAAAGCTATCTTCAACAAGTAATCAGACTATTGAAGTGTATTTTGAATTATAATTGATATTTCCAGAGAGCTACTGACATCATTTTAAGGTTGTCTTGAAAATGCCTGTGTATGGCTAGTGTGTGTTGTGTTGTTATAACAGTATAGCTAAGACCAGAAATTTAGAAAAATTAAGTCTATGTCATAGCCTGGAGACTGGGACGTCTGAGGCTGAGCACTGCAACCTAGTGGTGGGACGTTCCTGTTGTGCCCTTATTTGTGGAAGGAAGAAGAGCATAGAGAATGAACTACCTCACCCATTCTTTTAAGACCTGTTAGGAAGGGAGGACCCTTATATCCTCATCACCTCTTAAAGGTGTTACCTCTTACTTCACTCGCATTGACAACACATGAAGACATAATTGAAATCATAGAGGCTTAAAATAGTACAGATGACATAATAATAAAACCAGCAATCCTGTTTATTTTAATCTCCTTTCAGTTTCTAAGTCATATTGCCATTTTATGTTTGCAGTTATTACTTTACAGTTTTGCATATTCTTAATATTTTTCTGTTCCACAAATTGCAGATTTTACACCTTGATTCTTACTGTGTAATTAGGACCTGGTTCCATAGTACTTAGTAAATCAAAGGAGCAATTACTGATGTATAAAGTCTTAATAAAAGCTGATTATATTTTATGACAGAGCACGTCTTTGTAGCCTCATGTCTACTCTTTGGAAACCTCTGAGGTATGTGGACCTCCTCTTCACAGTATTCAAATAACAAAGCTAATAATTTGATAAAATGTGTGTTAAGATGCACATATCTGAGAAATAAAATATGAAAGTTTTTGAATCCAGCAGAAGACACTAAAACGAGTCAGTGCTTACATTATTTAGATGGATACTGTACACAAATTAGCATGGTGTTCAGTTGGAGGTTTATCATTTGACAGTACTTGCAGAACCCATTAGTATACCTCTATGATATTAACAGACTAGCATTTGTGAGTGGACCAAACGGTGCTCTAAGCTGAGTCACATAATATAATTTGTTAGTGAAGCCTAGCAAAAGTATGGCTTAGATCAAGGTCCTCAAAGTCAAGTTTAGGTCAGAGTGATTTTGTCTATTACTTTGTGCCTTGCATAATTTCTGATATTGTGTTTTTTTGTATCTTTAAAAGAGGGCTGAAAATGTCTCTTACACCAACTGACTGACTAACCAGGCCGTGGTCTGTAAGTCATCCAGATGTCAGGCGCCTGGTGCTCCAGGCATCCTTAGCACTGTGTGCAAAGCATGAAGATCAGAAGTGCAGAATCCCCACTCTGAACGTTGTATGACTAGAATTTGTCATGTTTTGAAATATAAGGAGTAGATTCAACAACAGTAAAAGCTGGGCATGGTAGCATGCAGCTGTAATCCCAGTACTTGAGAGGCAGAGGCAGGAGGATTGCAGTTATAAAAGACAGCTTCTGGTACTTTGTGAATACTATCCCAATCAAGACTACATAAAACTATTGTTACCGCTACTTCTACTACTACGGGGGGGGGGGGGGAGGAAGGGAGGGAAGGAGGATTCGCAGTTGAGCAAGCACACAAAAACAGCCTATCTGAGTCTATCCAGAGTCCCTGAAGAAGCCTGATCCAGGGTTGGTGTGTCCCCAGCACTGGGCTTTCAGAATTGCCAGCCCTGTCCTCTTGACTGTGGGGGATCCTCCCTGTTCTTTTGGCTCTCCTTGGGTCAGATCACAAACAAATACCCTCCTTTATTTGTTTTGTTTATTGTCTTTCTCCACTTGCTAGGCATAAGCCTTAAAGCATGGTTTTTGCTGCTGCATGGACACTCATAAGTCCTTGCCTGAAGTGACAAACCCAGAAGGGGCATATTTTCCTGAATTTATAAAATAACTTTAAGGTCATAAAAATCTATCACAGGGCACATATATTATGAAGATCTTTTAAGGAAAAGCTAACAAATACTTGTAGACAATGTAATCTGGAGAAAAACAATCCGTCAAATACTTAACTGTGTGTTTTACCTTTTGACTACTGCATTCTTTACCTGTTGGTACAAATGAATCTGTTTTATTTTCTTAATATAGGAAAAGACTTACCAGTATACTTTTTGGGTAACTAGAATTGATGAAAAAATAGGATTGAATTATACAGTCTCAAGGACAGAGATCAAATCCTGCTTCCTAGACTTGGTCGTAATTGTACATATTTAACCTAACTGTTGTTTATTGTCCCCTCTTAGTTAAATGGAAAATCAGTTTGCTTTCATTTTTAAAAGATCGTGTGTGGTGCTGTACAAAATGAGAAGAGACAAGAGCTGGTAGGGCTGCATCCGGTAGTAGTCAGTCAATCTTTCCAGTCAGTCAGTCTGTCTCTGCGTGCTGCCTCCGAGCATGCTCATGGAATCAGGAAAAGCAGCTTCCTCTTCTGTATTTGTATCCTTGGCTGTAGTTACATTTGGATTCATAAGTAAACAGCATTTTGCAGGATCACATTTCAGCCTAGATACTCTTGGGAACTGTGAAAATCACTGGTCTCACCAACCTCAAGTACTGTGAAACAAACATTTTTTAAGCCAGGAGCTATGCACTATAACATGCTAAGGTACCATATCATCTATGGGCTGAGTTCAGGAATGGATGCAACAGGTACGCAGTAGTCAGGGCAGCATGGACATAACTGTGGGACCAGCACGGACATAACTGTGGGCTCACAGTAGTCAGGCCAGCATGGACATAACTATGGGGCGAGCTTGGACTTGTAAAATTCAGAACCTTCTCTTTAAGGTTTAAATATCTTAACTGCTTTAAGATATTCCTAATTACAGTTGCACTGCTGTACACTAGAACCCAGAACTCCCCTCCTCCAGCTGGCCGTGCCTCTGTACCTGTTTGGCAGTCCCCTTTCTTACTCTCTTTACCCTCCACTGGCCACCAACTAGTCTTGACTTATGAGATCAGCTCTTTACATCCCACCTCTGTGTAATATCATGTGCTATTTGTCTCTCTGCCCTGCTTTATTTAAACTTAATGTCCTCCAGGCTTATCTGTGCTGTCACAGTTTTTAGGGCTAAATAAAATTCCACTGTGTGTATGGGCCGCACTTTCCATATTCACTCATTCCTCAGAGAACATTTAGGTCGATTCTATAGTTGAGCTATTATAAACAGCACTTGAGATCAACAGGACCGCAGCAGTCTCTCAACAATAATTGTTTCTCTTCTGGATATATACATGGTACTAAGATTGTCCGTTGCTGGATTAGGTCTATCTCTGGGTTTTATTTTGTTTCTCAGGACCTTGCATATGCCCATAAAGGTGGTACTAGTTTACATCCCCATCTGGTCCCTTCTTGAGTATTTTTAGAACTTTAAATGTTTTAATGAAATTGAAAAATAAAGTCATTAGTTACAGAACGACTTCATGTGTACCAATGTATATAAAAAAAGAAATCTATAGCCCTTATCTGACTACAAAGAATCTAAATCAAAGGTTTTATTTTTTCATATTCCTGTTTAATGAAATGCTAGGATTTCATGAAAAATTTATAAATTAAATAAAATGAAGTTTTCAGTCTGATACTTTTAATAACTTGTATGAGACCAGTGTCTTCAAATCTAATTTAATTTTTTTCTTCAGTCTCCCACTTGTGTTTTCATCTTCCCACCTTATACTTTGTTTATGTAATGATTATAACATATTAAAATGAATAAAATATGGCTATCTGTAGGCAGAAATGAATTTTACTTGTTTATGACATATTTAAGTATAATCTAAATAAAGGTCTTTCACCCAGTCCCTATGATCATCATACACAGACTTTTTACCTGTTTGCATATTCATTGCTAATGTTTGCCATTTCAAATGTCTGTAGCTTAAATTAAGCATTTGTTTAAACTTTTATCATCTGTCACATTGCTCTCAGCACTTACTGTATATTCAAATGTGTCATCTTTGTCTTCTCTGAATTTCACAGGCCTGTTGAAGCCACTGACATTGTTTATCACACTGTAATCTCAGGGCACTTGTAGAGTGAGAGTCAGCAGCTTTTGCTCCCAGGAGTGCAAAAGCAGCCACCCTGCAATGTCTCGCCAGCCTTTGGTCCTGTGCCTTCTCTGTAATGATGTAGATCTGTCTCTCCTTTATTCTTTGCAGAGTGCTGCAGCAGCTCCCAGCCCCGTGCTAGGAAACATGCCCCCAGGAGATGGCATGCCAGTAGGCCCCGTGCCACCAGGGTTCTTTCAGGTACTCAGAGTCTTGACTAGGAATGTTAAGGCAGAGGAACTCCTGCTTGGTGTTATTTAATGCTGATGACGTAGGATGAGGCTGTTGTAATTCTTTTAGTTTGATTATTAAGGTAAATATGATGCTGTACAGCCAACTCTTGATTGCTCAGGCTGGTTATTTATTACATTCCCTTCGTCTGTTGTATTATTTGTCATGATTAATATTAAAACATTTCATTTGATAAAAAAGAAAAGAAATCAAAGTGCAAATTAGACTAATAAGTTCACTGTGGTGAATACTTTGTGGGAAAATACATCTTTAAAACATTCATTTTCAACTGTCTGTATTTCTGTAGACTAAGAATAATCAAGATTTGGCTGTATTTTCAAAAGTAGCCAAGTCATAATCTATTTACTTAATAAAAATTATAGTCTGTATCAAATATTTGAAATCACATTTGTGGTTTTTCAGCTAGAATATTCATTAATATAATTATATAAAATTTGAAGATCAGATTTTCAATTGTGTATTTAGCATTTTCAAATTTCATAACCTGCTCCTTTTAGCAACAACAGTAATGATTTTAGAACTATAATACATCAGGTTTTAATTTTATAGATCTTTACCTTAAATCTGATAGAATTCTAACTCAAACCAACAGACCACTGTAAATTCTGAAGACTTCTCTATATGGATAATTTTATAACACTCTTTGAGAAAATTAAGAATTTAGGAGTTAAGAATTATAGGTGGGAGACATTACAGTAATTAATATCTAACACACTATCTTGTTAATATAGTACATACCTATAAGCCAAATTGATATTTTGGTCCATTTTTCATTTCAAAATCCTTGATAATCATTGGTTAGTAATTCATACTATTACTAAGGTACTTACAGAGATGAAAATGCAGAGATTAAATTGTAAATAACCTTGCAAAATAGATCTGTAGAATTAAAAGGTGTCATTTAGAACGTCAGACAAACCCTGCACATTTAGGGACTATTCCTTTGTCTAGCTGCTCTTTATTATGACTGGAGCACTAAGAAAAATGTAAAAGTCATTTTAGAGCCACATTCTATCCTGAGACCCTAAGTATAACTCTTGGTTATTAAACAATCACCACATAGACAATGATAAAAATAGCCAACATTTAATAATTGTTTTCTGTGCTATGCTTTAGTTTAGTCTACATGCTTTACGTAGGCTACTAGTTCCTACAGTCTCTACCGTCTAAGGTTTGCTGATTCTCACAGTGCAGATGGAAACACCAAAGCACTGACAGATGATTCTCACAGGAGCTGACAGGGCTGGTCTTTAAATCAAGACAGTCTCCATTTCTACCATTGAGATTACTTTTGAAGGTTGATTGCTATCTGTGACATGTTTTCAACTCATTTTATTTTTGCTTTACATTCTTAACTCTCGTGCCTGAAGTGGGTTAGGGTTAGGGAGTGTGTTGGAGACTCTTTTCTGCGAGACAGGATCACACCCAGTGGATTGTTAAAAGAGAAGGTCGGTTGGGGAGGAAGCAAATGTTTACTCTAGAGCAGTACACCAAGATGGCTAAACCTACATTTTCGTTTTCACCCTTGTAAGGGTCAGTCCCCCTCCCCCTTGCTTATTTTCTTGTACGAGTAGTCAAAATAGCTTTAATTTTCTTTAAATTATTCTGCTAGAATTCATGACTGGGTGCCTTTAGATTCCAGATACTGTGATATGTAAAAATCAGCACATACAGTGTACAACTTTTTGAGGCTCTTTGCATTAACAACAACAATAACAGTAACAATAAATCAGCTTTAAAAATGAAAAAGTGAAAAGTTTTGTGATGGCCAAGAAGAGAGAATGATTAAGTCCACCAGAGTTGGAGATGAGCTAGGGTTTGAAACACTGCCCAGCAAAACAAGCAGAGGAAAGGCACATCAGAGTGTGGCCCATAGCCAAAGTGTGCTATCAGTAAAACAAAGTATTGACATGCACAGAATACACACAAAGTACAGGAGCAGAGGTAAGGGGTCCTGCACACGAAATTGGAAAGATGTGCTCTGTTCTGTTGGGAAGAGCCTGGAACGGCATGGTAAGATCTATTTACCATGCTTACAGGATCCAGCAGATCTTTGAGAAAGGGGGTGACCTGGTTGTGCAATTGATTCAGACTCTTGTTTAGGCTAAAGTTGATTCAGACTTTGTTCAGGCATCTCTGATAAACGTGTTTATAACATCCCTGACATCAAAAAGCCCAGAGTGTGGTGAATTAAGAAAAGAAGTGATTTAAGTATGGGAAAATTTGAAAATAGGCATATTAAATTTGTGGAACATACACTTGTAGCAAATTAGATCATCACGCTGAGTCTTGGGAAAGGTATGGTCAGAAAAGCATTGTCAACATAGAAACTGTAATCAAAGTTAATGTCTTAAGATGAATGAGGAGCTAGGCAAAGGAAGCAAAGAGAAAGAACAGTCAGGGAAGGAGAAATAATGACAGGAACCCAGAGGAGAGGGGAATAGACACCTAGTATTTCAAGCCAGTTGTATCCTGACTAGTTATAAGGGGAATGGCTGGTGGTGACGCCTGAGAGGGCTGAAGGCAGTCCAGGGTCTGAACCTAATCCTAAAGACCATGATGAGCCATCAAGACCATGACGAGCCATCAAGAGGAACTTCTTGGGCTTTGCATCTTGAAGGGAAAATAGTTTCAACAATATTAGCCAGAATTCAGTTACAGAAGAATACATGTAGAAGTGGAGACTGATCTAGGATAGTAGGATTAGAAAGAAAAAAAGTAGTAATTAGGTTTGAAAAGCCTCAGTTGATTGCCCAAATTAGACATAAGGAAGATACTGAAGTTTCTATTTTGGATCTTTGAATAATTGTAGTATCTTTATGAATGTAAAGAAAAATAGGAGATGGAAAAATCTGTATACATGTGAGTTATTTCTGTTCACCCAAGAAGAATGTTTCAGCTCACCTCAAGGACTTTCCCCATCTATTCAAACTTCATATACACCCAGGATTTTTAAATGTTTCTAAAATACTGAAAAATTCAATCAAACACTAAAAAGCTGGTATCTCTTAGTAATGCAGTGCTGAGGTCAGCTGAAGTGTTTCATAACCAGTTAGTGTTAAGTCTCTACAGTATTTGGACTGTATGTCAGTGCAAGCCTAGGCATACATAACAAATGTTGTGGAAGAGGCTATCTTTCATACAAAGAAGCATGATAGTGATCAGAAGCTGCAGATGATCATACTTGTGAGCAACACACCAGCTTCTGCTCCTGTTTCCACAGACGTTTTCCTCTGAGAGTGGTCCACACCTCGAAGCTCTAGGAAAGAGAATCATCTCTGAGTTCACAGATGAAAACACCCAAGTTCAGCACAGCCAGTGAGCAAGGTTCATTGTAGGAAAGGGCTACACTGCAAGCAGCCATACAAGGGCAGGCGGTGGCTTCTCTGCTGACTGGTTCCAGAAGGTTCACTATCGAGAGACTAGGGTTCTGTAAGAAGTGAGCATAGACATAAAGGGAAACCGCAGCACTCAGAGGAGCTCTCAGTAGCTTTCTCTCCTCTCTACTTCTTGTAGCAGCTGGATTCTGAAAGGCTTATCCCTTCTCCTGCAACTTAGAGTCAGGGAGAGTGTGAGAATACTTCATATTCCCAGGGAGAAATGCAAAACTTATTTGGGCATAGCAGGAATGGGAGTCGACCATAAAAAGATTAAAGTATTAGGATTAAATGAATAAAGTTAATAATTTATAATTAGCCTCCTAAGTTAAAACATAAGTAGTTTTGAGTTGCACTCACTCTATAATCATACTGTAAAAATTACGTTGAAATTAGTCCTCCTAAATAGGGAAATGTATTTCTTTTACACCAAATATATTTCCCATTTACACCAAAGAACAGCCCTCTTTTTCCCCTTCCCCCTCCCCCTCTCCCCTTCTCTACTTCTCTCTCTCTCCTTCCCTCCCTCCCTTTCCCCCTTCCTCTATGTATAACTTAAATCCATTAGCAAGTAACATTACTACAAACTCTAAACTTAGGGATTCAAACAAATGCAGCTAACTTTAATCCTAAAATTGACATCTGTGATTAATATTCCAGTCATTTAGTATGTCCATTATGGAAGACAGGCCTTAGATTGTTGCCTTTCTTTTTGAGACTTTGTAACCACGTCATTAGTTCCTTTGCTATCATTTTGACAGAATACCTGGCAGGAGAAACCTGACGGAGGGGAAGTTTATTTTGGCTCACAGTTTAAGAGGGACCAGTCTAGCACTGCAGGGAACATGGCGGCTGTGGTGGTCCAGTCCATGGTGGTAGGACCTTGCTGTGGGTTTATTCACATCTTAGTGGATCAGGATTAGGAATTAGACGCAACCGGACACGGCTATGGGCTTTATATAATCTCCAAGTCCCAGCAACCCTTCTCTGTCAGTCAGGCTGACTTCCTGACCTCCATGACTCCATGCCACCTCTGGGCACAAGCTGTTAAAACACACCAACCTATGGGAAGCATTTCTGATCTGAGCCATAAGTTTTGTTTTTATTTAAATGGGAATGTCTCTTAATTAGTAAGAGCCCATTAAGTGAAATTAGTAGGAATATTTGAACAAAAGAAGTGCCAATTTAGTAAAATAAAGCCATTTAAAGTAAGATATATACTTACTTACTAGAGTCTGTCAGAGGCATGATTAGTGTAAGAAACCCAATAAATCCTCGGTGACACCTGTTGTGGAACCAGTGGATGACTTCAGAGTCATATTCTTAAATCAAGACAACTGACTAATTGCTACCAGAGGAAAGGCAATAGGGCTGTCTGTCCAGCAATCTCAAGTTTGGTTTTAGTAGAAAAAATACAGTAATGATATATCAATAATCTCATGTGGCTTAATTCAACAGTTTCATGGTATACTAAGAAATTTTCATTATAAATGGTATCAACCTATTGAATAGCTACATTTTTGTATATGTATATTTATTCTCTCAGAAATAAACAAAGGCATTAATGGCTGC